TAAAATCAGCGTTGTCAACTAACATAATCGCTGCTATCTGAATATAAGCTCCTGGGAAAACGAGAATTTGAACGTTGTTGAATTTCTCCAAATAAAACATGACTTTCAAGAGAAACCGTAAGATTTTCCTATTGGAAACTTCTCTGGGTCTTACAGCTGAAGAGCTCAGCAGTACTGCCTTTAGTTGGCGCAATTTTACCTGTACCCTGTAGTGTTGCGGCTCAGTGCTGTTATTTTATTCATAACTACAAGAAAAAAAAAGAAAGTATTGTTCAAAATACATATTTTATTGGAGGAGATTCGGCAACATTAGAAGACTCATTTCCTCGGCACGGCACATAAACACTTGTTAATTACATTTGATACTTTAGTACCTGATCTCTCTCCTTTCAAAAAAGAATTTTCTTTCCAAATGTTACAATAGTTTTTACCCCCACTTGTCTTTCTTTCTTCTTTATTGTAATAATTTGGAGAGAACCAGTTGATACGGGGAGTAGAGGCAAATACAGCATTTTTAGTCTGTCTTAACCTTAATCATTGTTAGTTAAGTTTTTTTTCTTTCGAGCAAACAACTGCGCCATGGTCCGTGAAGATCACGGCCAGATTTTTGTTTGACCATACCTACACCTGAGAATTGTTTGATAGTCTTTTTGAGTGGTCGGCACGAGGAGCGTTCCAAGTAGTGAGGTCCAGATGCCAGCCGGCTGTGCAAATGAGAATAGATCGTAAACGATACATCAAACAGGTGAGATTTTATCGATATCGATTGGTTCAACATGTAAGTATAGCCTCAAAGAGTCAAGTGAGCAATCTGAGGGAAAAGGATTTTTGTGATACATTTTCGATAAGTCTTTTTAAGTACATTACGGGAATGAAAACTTGGCTACACTGTTTTCTCCCATTTAAATGTATTTGAAATAATCGATTTTTGGAGGGACAGCTGGCCTCATCAAAATCGATATTTTTAATGGATTTAAATGGAGGAAAACAATTTTGCAGACTTGCAAAATTGCCACTGGCATGGCAGAATAGTGCGCAGGGTTTATACATTCTTCATCCGTTTTTTACAAATTTGGCAAACTTGCAGGAAACTGGGTTGTGGTTTTAAGAGCTGCTTTTTGCAGCGGATCAAGAGGAAGTCCTTGTTTTTCAACCGAGCGGTTTTCCCCACTCAATGAGCTGACATAGAGAGCCCCGAAGATACGATTGGAAATAAATCATCGAAAAATGTGTCGATCACACACTGAAAGTACGTGCAGAATAGAGCTTTATTCGTGACAATTTCTTCAGTATTGAGAAAATATAGAAAACCGTTCTGCGGGGGGGTGGGGGATGTTTCTTCACAGGTAAGATCAAAGCAGTGGCGTGGCGTGAACTGCGATATATCTATTGTTACGCCCTTTAAACCTATTGTAAAGAATCGATTATAAAGATGTTCGCTGCTAACACCCTGTTTATCGATTTTTTTCCATCAGTTTAAATGGCATGACAATAGATATATCGCAGTTAACGCCACGCCACTGGATCAAAGTAAGAAATTGAAAAAATCCGGTGAAAATTAAATACTGTGAAAAGTGGTTTGAACTCAAAAATGGGAGAGGGAGAGCTTTGTCTTCCTTGATCAAGAGGTAGGTGCAATCAAATTGGTAAAAATCGCAAGAGTATAGGACGAAAGCAAATTATTTGCAGACGATACAAATAGGATTTGCCTCCGATAAATACTTTTAAGGGTTATGACTGAATTATAGATGTACAAGTATGCCTATATAGTTAAAAAAAAGAAAAGCTAACTTGAAGTGAGCATATGGAGCTTCGTAAATGAAAATTGCTGAAAATATCAGCTGTTAGGTACTTAGGTAGGAAGAGAAATGGAACCCAAGGTCCAAGAGAACACAGTATTTTTAAAATAAGGTAAAAGTAAAAGAAAGATTGTACAAAAAAAAATAAATAAATAAATAAAGAGGAAAATCTGATTCAATTCCCCTCGAGATGAAAGAGAAAAATAATATCGATGGAGAGAAGAGGGTAAAAATTGAAGATTTTTAATACTACAGATTTCCCGCAGGAAGAGGACCCGTACCTAGAGGACTTTTGGGTCGTGTTCATACAAATAATCGCTCCTCAAACAGCTCTTTCCCTTGAGAGGGCCCGATGATAATGCTAACTGTCTGTAAAAAAGTTATTTCAGACTTAATGCGAGACAAATTACCTCATGAATGTTCAAACAGAGGAGGATTCTGCACGGCAATTTATGATACAAATATTTTAACTCTGGTGTGAGCGGTGAAGCATCGCGCGAAATTGAAGGCGTTTCCGACTGGTGACAACAGTTCGACGTGGCTCACTGTAAACTGTAACACGTGCTACGCAAAAGGATCATATAAACCCGCATCCCTCATTCCATCCCGTCGTTTCTTCGAAGACGAGTCATGATCCACAAAGATACAATGCATTTGGAAGATAATTTGCAAAATATGGTTTGCCTTTTAGGGCCTTTTGAGTAGCATCATCAATGGGACAATTTTTCTGAGGCGCAGGTAAAATTCGACAAAATAACTTTAGGAATAGATCATAAAAGGAATTACAATGATTTTGACACTAGGAACAAAAAATACACAAAATTCTACGATTTTAGCAAACTCTAATTTAGATGTGGACCAATCTTAAAATTTTCAAAAATCGTAATACTTTCTCTTATATTTTACGATTTTTGTAATGCCAGGGTCTATTCTTTCACTATACCTCATGCTGTTTATGAAAACTTAAAGCGATTTATGACAAATTTCCAAAAACTGGGCAAATGAGACAATTGGTAAATCCTTTACTTGAGGGTTTAATAAGAGAGGTCAAGTGTTCCTTATCACTAGTCTATTTCACCCAGGTATTGCATTTTATGGTGGTACTAGTGCCTAACAAATACCTACATTTTCAAATATTTTTTGTCTCTTATTACTGAGGAGCTGCATATTTATCTAAATAGAGGTGCTTGACACAAAAAATTTTATTTAGTCAAGCTTTACTACTCCCAAAAATGTTGGGGCTCATATTCCAACCGAGATTCTGTCATGTAAGAGGCCGTAATTGCAGTATGCATTTTATGCAAAAATGAATTTAACAAAGCTTTATCATAGCAAATGAAAGTAATTAAAATGTATGTGTTATCCATTGTGAGGAAAGTGCTGATCAAGAGAGACCTGAATCGTAGGACAGGAAGTAGAAGAAGTGGCAAGGTAAGTAAATGGACTATATGGAGAGTTAATTTGTTAGTATCTTCAAAATTTAGTAACTAAAAAAAAAAAAAAAAAAAAAAAAAAAAAAAAAACCCTTATTTTCTTCAAAAATGAAAGTGGCTTTAAAAAATGATTCAGATATTATACTTTATCCACCAGTTTTAAAGTTATGAATCTCACCTGTCCTCCTTCATTCAACAAGACAATAAGACTATTCGACACTATTCGACTAAAATTAGGAGTTGTGATTCTGCTGACGAAGAATGCCAAAGAGATAAGGAGGGATGATGATAAGCTTAATACCGTCACGTTGAATGAAAAAGACAGCCCTGTTTCAGAAGAAAAATCACTGATGGCCACGTCTTTTTTGGTACAGAGACAGGAAAAAAATTAAAACTCTCCTAGGAATTCATTAATTTCTTCTTTGCAAAATGCAATGTAGAAAAAAACCAATGGCAAACCTTGGCAAAAGTGTGTTGCTGTCACAAGGAGAAAATGTGAATCGTTAAGTCCATTAATCAGTACGTTCATCAATTTACATCAAAATCGCTTGTGAAAATTAACGTATTCAATCTGTTATTAGTATCACCATAAAATCAAATTATAGTGCCCTTTGATTACTGATTTACTGCCCATGATTTACCTGGCAATTAATTTGGGTTGTCGAGATGAGGTAAGCTCAAAGGACATGGGAGAGAATAGTTCAAAAACCTGATGCCGATATTGATCTGTTCCTCAGTATTATGGCACTTCATAATCAGCAAGTTAGTCAGATGCAATTGACATGCTATGTTTTAGGACCAAGAAATGACAAATGGAACGATTCTCATCTAAGCACATGGTTTGAATCGGACATGTATATTGTTTAAAACATGAATTATTTCAAAGACTATATACTTATGGTGCTCAGTGTCTTTACTAGACTTGACTGGGTCTAATGTACTGAGATGAAAAGAAATAACAATCGTACCTGATCTCTAATCTTAAGGAGCAAAAATAATACTTATAGGTGTTAGGTACTCCAGAGCAAAATACCTTCTGTTAGTTAAGGCTCTGCTGAAGTTTAATGGCTATCTGATGAAGATTGTGCCATCCCATACTATTCACTCCTCCCGCACTGGGTTAAACTCAAATATTTCAAAAGGGATAATGATAGTTTCCAATATCAGTTTGGGATATTTTAAGTTAGAAATGCTGATTGTGCGTCCAGAGTATAGGACTAGATTCTTGCACTGATGTTATCATAACGAAATGCAATCATCAATAAGTAATAATTCTATCAAATTTGCATCATATGTTATTGGTGTAGGTACTTTATTTGCACAGTTATGATCATTCAGGACAACTCGCTGTGATGAAATGTTCGAAGATACGATAATCAGAGGAATAATCGTTTGGAGGTTATGTGAGTGCTGACGTTACCGTTATCCGTTTTCCAATTAAAACAAGATTTACTCGAGTAAGACAGCACAAATGGTGTACAAGAAGCACATATGCTGCAATTCAAATCGCAGTGCTAACCCTGTGTGTAAGTAGGGCTGTTGACCTTGAAATACATTGCTATACTAGCCATATATCTGGTCATCGCTTCAATGATTGATAGCGATAAGTAGTCATAAAGGAAATTTTCAGACTATTTCTAGGTTAGATCATTATCCAGCTGTGAGAAACTTTTATGGAAGAAGTAGCCTAGCTGATAACATGGAAAATCTGGGTCCACCTCATCTGAACAAACATAACCAACAGAGACAAAAACATGCAGTGTCTTACCTCATTATCAAGAGGAACATTCCACAAAAACACATAAAAACAGCTAAAACTGAGATGATGTTGGAAAACTCTGCCACCGACACAAGCATTGCTGTCAATGAAACCATCACTATTTTTTTAAAATTATGTACCTGGCTGGCCCAGAGGCCTGCCGAAAACGGAAAATTTCACAGGTTAGGGGGAAACAACTTAAACAAATCGAAACCGAAATTTTTTAAGCTCACTCCACATCCACAACCCGATTTAGTGCGACACTAGAACACTCCGTTCGTTTTCTGATCGTCTGTTCTGTGACACTATCGAAACTGACGAAACAAGAAATCCTTTAGAAAGTAAACACCAACTTGTTTGAATTCGGTCCTCCCAGTGCTCCCCCCACTACTACCGCAGTTGCTTCGCTGACAAAGATGTGAATCGAGTTTCGAGTACACACAACGAAGGAAAATGCGCCTGCAACTTCCTTATGGTGAATTGGATAGGCAACCCGTCACAATCCTTATAACTATGACGCAACTCCTCACTTCTAAACAACGATGAGTAATTGGATTATCAGACAAATCAATTGATACTGAAGTGGATTATTTATTGGAATTATGTCTTGGTAGGCCCTCTTTTTCTTTTCTTCTCATTTTTTTCTCCTCAAAGCATATTACTTATATGAAAAAAATTATTGCAATTAAGTTGCGAGAAGCGCCTACCTCACAACCAGTCGCTTCTTCGAGAGGGGGGGGGGGTTGGAATTAGCAAAAATATCATGCCAAAAGAGAATGTCAACAATATTTATCAAGTTTGAAATGAAATTGAATTAAATTGCACTAAATGGTGATATCCATTTTATAAGTTAGGTGGGGCATAAGCTCACCTTGTCACCGCTTTCAGAATTTTTAGTGCCAAAAATGCGGCGTTCCAACCTTAATCTCTATTGTGCAAATACAAATTTTGTCTCAATTAAAAAATTGCAAGGGGAGCAAAAAATTAAAATGAGAGAGGAGGAAGGGATCATGAGAAAAACTGAAATAAGCACCGAAGTGAGAAAGATAATATTTTACTCAAATCTAAAAATATTCCATGAGAAAAGGTGACATTTTTTGAAGTTTTCAAGAGATTTGTTGAAAAGTACCCTCAAAGTTTCATGGGGCTCAAAATTTCAGATACAAATTGTTTTATTGATAAATATAAAACATTTTGCATAAGAAAATTCAAGACCAAATTTTATGATAATCGTCAGGACCTAGGCGAATCATCATCATTCAATTTGGGAACGAGGGATCTCAGTTCTTATAGGCAACATTTTACGTATTTTCAAATTTAAAATTTTCTCTGGTGTCCTAAAAAATAGGTTGCTAGCGGCTCAGTTCATTTTAATGCCAACATAAGTGTAAAGTTGCATGATTCGAGGATTTCATGCATTGACTTATAGGCAATAGGCATATCGATGACCTTAGTGCAACACCACGTATCTCCATTGCAGTGTGTCAAAATTTCCGCTCCTATTTTATTTTTTTTTGGAAGAGAAACAAGCTAACTTTATAGCTTGAAAATGTAGCATACTCTCCCAGTAGGAAAGAAAAATCAAAGAAGTTTTCAAGAAATTACGTTTACTAGTTTCTACCGGAAAAAATAAAATATGACAGGAAGTCTGCAACGTTGCAAACGGAGATACATGGTTTTGCACTATCGCCATTGACATGTAGAAGTGTAGTTGTAAACCAGAATTTCAAAAGTTTTTATCATCAGAGCTGCGGATTACCTATTCCATCATTTCGGGCTCAGCTTCTAGAGCTATTTTGAACCTGGAAGTTGATTTAGAGTGAACCGATGACACCATCTCATTTTCCTTTAATTTTCATACAGGAATGGAGGGAATAATCGAAGGGAAAAGAATAGAAATCATGATTTAATTTTTTTTTTTTTTGTAAAGTTTGATATATGAAGAAATTTAAAACAATTTTCAACTGCGAAGTATTTTTTCCTCGAGTAAACGTTTTTTCGTTTACGTAAACGTCTCTTCGAGTAAACGTTAAAAAAAAAAAAAAAAAAAAAAAAAAAAAAAAAAAAAAAAAAAAAAAAAAAAAAAAAAAAAAAAAAAAA